ATTATAGCTATTTCTGGCATAAAATATTTTTCATTTAATTAATTATTGTTTTTAATTTAATTTTCGGAATTATAAATACTAAATATCATAAAATGAAAATTATTATATATTACATAAGAAAAGACAAAATGAAAATATTCCATTAATTTATGATTTTTTGTTTATTTACAGTTGATATAAAACACAATATTCTACATGGATCCTGCTTAGCGGTTCCGAAGATTAATTTCAATAATATTTCTATTTTATAATAAATAATTTTATTTCGATTTATTCCTCTTCCCGGCCCAATTTTATTTATTTATTATGTTAATACACAATTAATTGATTTTACTTTGGAACAAATGTTACGCTTTTAGTAACTTCTGTATGATTGATGAGCGTATATATTCGACCTGCTATCTATTCATTTTCTTTGTGGGTTCATAATATTTATATTTTTTTTTTTTTTGTAGACATATATTTAGGAAATTATGTCTTGTCAATAATATTAAACAAATTACAAATATGTGTACATCTAAGAATATTGACGTATTAATAAATCTATGTATTTTCTTCACTTTGCAATACTATTTCACTACGTAATAAGTGTAAAAATATAGAATATGCTATCTTTTTGTATAAGTATAGATTGTTTCAAGAGAAATGAAAAAGTACAATTTGTATTCGGAATTGCTAAATATATTATCAATACAAGTAGCATCCATATTTTTTTTTATTAATTGCTTTCTCCTAAAAACTGAATGAATTAATGAAAAAACTGTATTACTCGCAGAATTAAATATATAAATATTTATATATCTGTTTTTGCAGAATTACTTGAGCAGTTTTTTTTCAAATATTTTTTCTCTTTTATTTTAACAATAAAAGACGTTTAAATGTGAGATCTAAAAAAAGTCCAGCTTTAATTGCCTCGTTATTCAAAATTTGCTTCTCTAATCACTTGGATGCCATCGGCTACAGAATACAAATCCAATCGCGACTCAATCGCCATCTCATGGGAGACAGATTGTCTTCTTTTATGAGGCTTTATGTCTGCTTTCTTAATAAAAGGCTTCGATGCCTCTTGTTGGTCGCCCGAATGTTTACTTAATTCCGTGTCATCGTGAAGCAATGTATGGTGATATTCTTTCCGCAAATACATTTCTCATGAATGCAGTCCTTCCTGCTGTGTTCTGCGCATAAGCAATTAAAATAAACCTGTAGTCAATTTGTTTCCTTTCATCTTTCCGAGACAGGCATCGCGGAGAATTTCTTAATACGAGATTATAGTGGAGCTGCGAAGAGAGCAGCGAGGAGAGCAGCGAGGAGAGCAGTGAGTAAAGAGGAGTTGTGAAGCTAGCAGAGTGGAGCGTTTATAGTGACGCGGAGAAAAGCGAGAAATCCTACAGCGAGCTATTCTTCTCAGTATGTCTCAAAATGTCTTCGAGGAAATAGCAAAAGCTTGTAATTGTAAAAAATATTGCAATTAAATATCACATATTAATGTCATATCTCGCAAAAAAAACAAGATTAGAAGATAAAAAAAAATAAATAATAGAAATAATAAAAAAAATAAAATAAATAGTAAAAAACAGAAATAATAGATATATAAATATTTCGATCTTCAATTGAATGCTGTTGAATGCGATAGAATGCTACCGCATGCATCCGAATGTTGCAGAACGCGTTGATCTCCGCTGGTAGAAACAAACTTTTTTGATTATTGCCGCACCGCTACTATAGAGTTGGGCATATTTTATTCGAAAGAATAAAATACTGTTAAATTTATTCGTAAATAACGAGAAACGATTTTATTCGAGAAAGAATTATTCGTTATTTACGAATAACGATTTTATTCGAGGAAAAATTATTCATTACTTACTAATAACGATTTCATTCGAGGAAAAATTATTCGTTACTTACGAATAACGATTTTATTCGAGGAAAAATTATTCGTTATTTATGAATAATGATTTTATTCGAACTTATTCGAAGACACAGTTGGGAAAATTATATTCGTATAATATTTCGAATAAATTCTTCAAATAAAATTTTATTCAAAATATTTACTAAAATAATGTAAAGAAAAAGAGTCAGGAGTTCTTTTTTCACAATTTTGATTTATTTAATAAATTTGCTTTTAGTACAATTTTTTGTTCGAACATTTTGTTAGTTCTGTTTGCTTTAGGCGAGTTTGTTATCGTTGCAAATGAAAACAAACGCTCTACTGGAATAGATGTGCAGGACACATTGGCGGTGGGGAGGCGGAGGGGAAGGCGACCGTGAGGAGCGATAGTGCCGTTAGAGTGAACCCGCGGGATGAGCATGTAACGTATGGTGGGCGCCACAACAAACATTCATCGGGCTTGTAAATGGCGTGATTCATCGCGGCACGATAACTATTTTTGTTATTAGGCTGCCGCGATTATTAATAAAATATGGTTGAACCTTGGAGAATCAAATTTATTTAACTTGAAATTGTCACAACAAAATTATACCGAAAAATAAGACATTTCTTTGGCGAGAGTTAAACCGCCTTGTGAGCGTCCGCGAGCCTGCCTTTATTGGCAAATGCCAGTTCAATCCAATCAATTAATTACATTCAAAAAATTTGTAGGTACGATGTTGGTAATTTAATTCAATCACCGTACAACAAATTGAAAGAATAACTCAGTATTTTATTTTTATAATCTGTATTAAATATTATTAATGTAACAAAAAAATATATTTAACTGGATAACGTAAATTATAATCAATTTACTGAGTTATTCTCTGTAAATATTGAATAATGAATGAATATTTATTTCCTTCGTAATTAATATATCCCTAAAATTTAAAATTTTAAACATTTCTCTAGTAACAGTTAATAGACAATTTTTAAATTTTCTATTATCTCGGAGTTTTATAAAGTTGCCGCCGTCGATTTATCGGAAACGTACCTTTCGACGGATTGAGCAAATGTAGATGGCGCTGATCTTAATGCTGCTGAAGGGATTGAAAATGGCGATGTTAATGCGAGGATAATGCAGGAAGTGATGATGTGGGTAAGGTGAGGAAAAAGGTTGTGCGCGTTTCGTCTCAGAGTCGCTGCCTAGACTCATCAGTGGGGCTGATGGCAGCGACTCCTTACCCCAGACGCTTGTTGTTGTAACTATTCGCTAGGCTGGATGGTCACCCCATCCTAGCGGTTCCGCACTCTGTTTGCTTAACATCGAATATCGGTTGACTTCGACGCTAGGCCCACAGCCACTTGCGGCTTGTGCAAGTTGGTGTTCGAAACTCGTACTCGAGGAACTATAGGTCGCTACACTGCTGTAGCGACCGTTACACTTCTAAAATTAATATCAACGTCAGCTACACAATCGTTTCGTCAAAAAGTATGTTTCAGGTAAATTGACATTTAACATTTGAATATTGTAAACTGATAGTCTATTTTTATTATTACCATGAAGGTTATTATCATGTTTACTTTTTTATAGAGATGTATATATATTCCATGTTAGAATTAATTATTCATTCCTTAATTATCATTTATAGAAAACAAGTATCTATTTTTTGCTTTATTATTTATTATAATTTTTATTAAAGTTTTTATTAAAGTTACTCAAGTCACAAAGTTCTTATTTATTTGTAGTATTGAAATTACCCTTATAATCATTACACTGCTGTAGCTCCGCAAAATTAAATCAGCGCCATCTATGTTCACTAAATCGTTCCGCCGAAAAGTGTGTTTCAGATAAACCGACATCGCCAATTTAATAAAACTCATAAACAATAGAAAATTTAAAAATTGTTAGTCCATTAATTATTACCATGGATGTTTAGAGATGTATATATATATAGTAACTATCAGAGAAATTATTCATTCGTTATTTGTTATTCCTCATTAGTTATTAGTTATTAGTTATTGAATATACAGAAGATTTATACAAAAGTTAATATATATTTTGTTACATTGATAATATTTTTATATAAATTATTAAAATTAAATATGGAGTTATTAAATTTGTAATGATTGAGGTAAATTATCATCATCGTTCTTACACCACGGAGGTAACAGTCGCTACAGAGCGGACGTAGTCGCTGTACTACATTGAGCGGAAGTAGATGTCGTTGTGCTCAGTTGAGAGGACGTGCTGTTGCTACATGTAAAAATTTGAGAAATTTGTATAAAAAAAATTTATTAGTTTAAGAGATATTTTAACTTTAATTTTATAAAATCTATTGTGCGAAAGACAAAGAGGAAGGCAAAAACATTGTTCTTGTATTCATGATATCCTTTCTGTATTCATGTTATCTTTCATGCGTAGATTTTATAAGATTAGGATAAAATATTTCCTGTGAATTAGCAATAAGCTTTAGTTTCAGTAAGTACGATTTTTTATTATTTCAGTACTTAATAGAATTTTTTAGTACTTGTTCATTTAGCTTTGTTATTTTATTTTCTCTCTCAATTGAATTTTCCTTGAAATTTCTAAGTCTAATACACAAAATTCAATAAAATGGCGAAAAAAATTGTACATAGAAATGTACGTAGTTAATCATAAAAATGTCTTATAGTAAAAGTCGATTTATTCGTTTATAAAATCTTGAATAAATTTCAGCCGCTTTGGCAACTTTTTAATATTTATGGTAAAAAATACATATGTTTATATACCTTAAATAAAACAATATTCCAAATATATAGTTTAAATTTATTGCTATAAAAATTTGAATAGTTTAAAATTAAAATGAATAAAATTGATTACACAATTAAAAAATTTAATTATTATCAATAGAATGAAAATTTTCATAAACTAAAAACAAAAATTAAATTAAAAACGTATATTATAATTTAGTAAAAATTTTTATTAAAAAAAAAATTAGCTTAATAAAAATCATATTTGATAATTATTAAAATATGTATTTAAATTTCTAAAAATCACCGCGTTAATAAAGTCAAGAGTACGATCCTGTATATATATATTACCTCAGCGTTTCTTGCTCTTGAACTCCTCAGTAATATTTTGTTTACAGCACGTGCTAATATCTGTGTATAGAATATGTTAACCTTGCTTTTTATATGCCTGTTATGTATTATATTTATTGGTATACTTATTAACTAGTCATTAGCTCCTTGTTTATTGTCAAATGTGTTAAGAATTCCTCATCTATTAAGTGGCTTGTATAAAGAATACAAAAAGGTAAGTCTGTAATGCTCATTTTTTCTATTTATTGTATATTTAAAATTTTCTTTTATAAAACCTTCTTATTTAATATTTATCATTTTTTTTAACTTATAAATAACTTCTGTTATTACATTTGTTATATCTTATTTTGCTTTAGTACATTATTTTTTAGTCTTTATAATATCATACATAAATATCATAAATATCATGCAGAAATTTTTTAAGTTTGTAAATTATTTGCAAATTATAACACAACTTTTCCAATAAATTTATTAGACTGATAGCTTTTTTATGATTTATACAATTAAATGGTTCAAAATAAATTATTTTATGATGACAGGTTGTTAGTATTCTACAAAATTTATAATTAACAAAATAGCTGAAAATTTAATTTATATTTAAAAATATAGTATCAAATATAGTATCAATAAATATATAGTATCAAACATAAAAGATTTGATAGTCAATTGAGCAAATAATCTTTCTTCCATTATTATTAGTTTTACTACTAACTTTTTTTAAAAAGTATTCTTAAAAAACTCAAAAATGTTTTGGAATTAAAAGATGATGAAACAACAGATTCATATAGATCTAAATTTAAAATGTTGTGTTTTATTATTAATTTTAAGATTATTATAATTTATTACTATTTTTTTTTTTGTAAAATTTCAATAGAAGTTTATAATATCTAGAAATTTATCAAAAAAGTTGTTTGTAATTTTCAATGAATTTTATTGGCAAGTATAAATCCTGATATTTCTTTTTTAAATTAAATAGTAATATTGTTGATGATAACTAATTAATATATATACAATAATTTGAAGAAGTCTTTGATTCAAAGCTATTTTTTCATAAACATGTTTTGAAGTTTTATATCATTATTCTGTTTTCTGTATTTTTTTTTCTTTTCAAAGAATAAATTATCTTATTCTTCAATTTGTTCCAATAAAGCATAAAATTTATATTAATATTAAAAAAATATATTTTATTTCTTTTTTTTAGAAGATATTTATTTGATTCAGATAAACTGAAAATAGATAATACAATAGTTAGTGAAAGTAGAATTTCCTTAACACTGAATAATGATTTTGCTGTGCTAGTAATTATCACATGCGAATAAAATTGTACATCTTCACATCTTCTACTTATATGTTTGAATTTTTTAATAATAATGTAAGTTACAAATTGTTTATCAATAATTGATTGAAACTTTAGAATATTTCTTTATTTATTTCGCAAAATAATTGTCAGCAATTTTTTAGTAATAACCTATTATTAATGAAATAATGTAATAATTTAATAAGTTTAATTCAATAGTCTTATCAATCTTTTTTTAAATTTGATTCTGTATGTCTAATTTCTTAATTTATTGTGAAATTTATATTTTCTTAAATTTATTTGTGTATAGTTGTTTAATTTGTTTTCTTGTGATAATTGAATTTTCATTTCTTCCTTTTCTTTCTTTTCCTGATAAGAATATTAATAAGTAATAAGAATTTTTTTTTTATTTTGAGTGGAATTTAAAATATATAAATATTTTGATATCTAATACTTAATTACACAATGTTAACTTATAATTTTTTCTAAATTAAGATTTGTTTCATTAGATGTATATTATTAAATAATAAAAGTAATTTTTGTAATCCATAGAATATATTCTTAGTGAAATGAAATTTTATAGAAGCTGTATTGTTGTACTTGTCAAAAACCTCAGATATTTTAATATTTATTTAATTGTTTATATATGAGTAATATAAATTCTTAGTATCTTAATGTATTTTATATGTAAATTATTAATATTTAAAATCTGTGATGAGATATGTATATCAGAAATCTGTTAATGATGATGAAAGATGTAGAAATTATTTAATTTTAGAACAATAATTTAATCATCCAAGAAAAAAATCATGATTAACGTATGGTTTTCTTACAGTTCGTTTATGCAGTTGTGGAAAATCCTTTTGTTATCATGGTACAAGTATTTCAGACATGACTTCAAGAAAAATCTTTAGAAATGGACTTCTTTATACATATGTTTTTTAATAGCTGGATGTAATGAAATAAACTATAGAAGCTACATAAGTTCATCCAGCTATCGCATTCATTATATTTGCAAGTAAGTAACATAATATTTAAAGGAAAAATATAGAAATAAACATTTATTAATATAAAGTAAAATAAATAATAATTACAAAAATTTATTAATTATTACATATTATATGGTAATATGCTAGAAATTTATTGTTTATGTTATTAAATTTATTGTACATGCTATTTACATAGATATTTATTTTTAGTTCTTAAAAATTCATTCAATTCATTTAAATTTGCCTTGTTTTTCTATACATAACTAAGTACTTTGAAATTATATAATTTATTTAGATATTTAACACATTTTAGATGAGTTATTATCAATGAGTATACGGAATGTACGGTTTCAATTTATAAATGATATGTTTTAAAATTTAAAAGATCATTTTGCTTATGAATTAAAACCGGGCATTTTATATTTTTTTAAATTTACATTTAAAAAATCTCATAAAGTGTTACAAACTATTATCTTTCAAAGTACAGCAACTATTAATTTTTTTTTTTTAAATTGAATGGTATGAAGTACATGTGGTATATGTGGTATATAAAAAATTTTTCTAAATTGACTGCCAAGATCGGAATGAACTAGTCTTTTTTTTTTTTTTTTTAATGGAATACCATATTAATTTTTTTTTATTTATATAGTTTTCATCAAATTTATTTTATCCATTTTTTGACATTCTTCATACTTAAAAATTTATGACAAAGGAAATTTCTAAAGAGTACAGAGATGTCAAAGCGGAATTGCAATAAACATATTTCGTTTTAAAATTTATTTCGTGAAATACTCGATCATGTATTTGCAAATATGTGTTTATTCTTCTTATAATATTAGAATTTCATTAACAATATTAAATTCAAATATCATATTTGAAAGATTATACATATGAGACTACGTATATCAGTATAATGCACTGTAGTTCATAAAATGTCGGGATTTAATGCTGAAAAATTGATTGGAACAGCATTGCTGCTTGACGAAGATGAAAGTAATAGGAGAAAAATATTGGATACAGAAGAGTCTACAATTACGAAAGACTGAAGGTCGCAATAGTGAATTCTACCCATTGGATTGCGATCTCATCTCCTTACTTAGCTCTGCCTCCATAGGGAGGAGCTTCAATCCTTTGGCTGCCGGTGATAGATCGATCGATGCATCTAACAAATATTCCTCCTCGTCATTGTAGTGTTCTATTCGAGGCGTGTGGGCGATGTTTTTCTGCCTCAGCAGAGATGATTTGATCAAATGAGCTTTGGCGGCTTCTCTAAGGTTGCCATCCGTCTACTAGACCTTTTGAGGAGGCCATTCTCTCTAGGTGCGCCAGCTGCATTGTTAGCGGAGCAGGCGTGGGCAGCTACCTGCTCGCATTCACGATTGTCCGATAAGTAAAATCTTTTCTGAAAATTCGTCGATTCTCATATAATATATATAATATAATGTAATGCGATAGGTAAAAGATAAAAAAGAAAATGAAGATAATTGCTAGTAATAGATGAAAATAATGAAAAGTATTTTATGTGGTAGATTTATAGAATACAAATATAAATACAATAAAGTAATAAATAGAAAGACAATACACTAAGGTGTGTTGACAGATAGAGAAAATGAATTATGCTATATCACATATCGTCTCTTTCTTGAAGCAACAAATTAAGATGGAGAAATTATTTTTTTTACATAATTGGACATGTGTACTAGTGTAGCTGACATGCTGATATGTGTGTTAGTGTAGCTGAATTTGGGAGAATGGAACAAGGGATAGAATGATAAAGGTGACCTGGAGAAGTGGAAATTTTTTCAAATGTTTGACATTGTCTTTATAACAATCTGGAACATACCTTTTCTCAGATATGCTTCCATACAGCAGTAGAAAATATTGCTATTGTAAAGTGACTATATTTGCCGGATTGATTCTGACTTGGTTACTTGGTTAAGTAATTCTGATTACAAACTACTGACTCTGAACAAATTAAGAACAACTGACAACTACGATTGAAAAATTACTCTCTGACTAAGATTGTAAACTATTGATTATTCTTCGTCTCTGAAGAGACTTCTGTCTTCTTTTCTAAAATATTCTAAAGAAGATTAAGATCAGAATTGTGCCAGGAAATTTTATCAATAGTACCACCGATAGTTCTCCATCACTAGTATTTATTTCGACTGAATGTATTTGTGTGCTTCGCGCTTTATCGTTATTTTTCATTTGTCACAACTCCAATGTAAATGTATCTTTATCCCGTCAGGGGAACACAACGATTGTTGTATAAAGCCTACATATATATATGTATATTTCGTCTTGGTATCTTTCTTAGCTAATTCCTCAAATACTCGAAAAACGGTTAGGAGTTTACTATGGAATTTGGAGGTAGTAATCATGATTACTGCTACATAGTGGCCGATAGTAATAAATAATTTGGTCTTAGCCATCAATAATTATTAATTATTTCTAAAACTTCAAATTCATCATCATGTATATTATAAACGTATACAATTTTAGGAAAAAATTGAATATAACAGTTGAATATAAATGACTTTTCAATGTCAAATAAAGGAAAATGTAGAATGAAGGATATAGAAAGTGTTTTAAAAAAAGAAATGTGAAATATGAAAACAAATATGAAAATAGCCATTTATGTTCCCATTCTTATGTTCTTTGTTTTATTCTCGTCTTTCCTCTAAAAATTATTTGTCGCGTTTTGTAAATATTTTTTCTGAAATACAAAAATACTTCTCGCATAACTTTCAAAATAACAAAGAATCTGTATCCTCTGGAGAATTAATTTTTTTCAAGTATTGTCTTTATATAATTAACTTGCACGTTTTTAGATTTAATTTAGTTTCTCTGCTCAATAAATGAAAAAGGATGATGTTTTTGTAAATTTTTCCTAAAGTCTCGTCGATTCTCATTTGCACCTTTCATTTCCTTCTCAATATCACAGTTTGGTTTGCATTTCCATTTATATGAAATCTCTCTTTAATCTAAAGTTTATCAGCGTTGTTGTTCTCGGGATATTTTTTGTTTCATAAACAAAAAAGTTTTTTTTTATGGATATGTTCATAGTCTTGAACGTAATATTTTCCCGTTTCTTGATTAAATTATTCATTATTATAAATTCCGAAATTGTTATACTTTGATAGTATCATCATATATTATGCTTTAACGTTTTCATGTTAAAACTTTGTAGATATTCTTCAATGTTACATAGTTATTATCGTTACTATCTTCCACTGACTGAAAACTTTCTTGAGTTTTAAAAGTACTTCATTTAAAAAATCCATTGTTTTAATTATATGTCTTAATATGTTGCAACGTCATGGATTAATTCTCATGAATATTTCTTTTTTGACATTATAACTATACTGTATTATAATATACTGTGATACAAATTTTTCTTATTGTTATTATTGTTGTTTCTGCAGTTCAACCACATTTTATAAAATATATATATTTAATAATTTCTCTACATTTATTTCATATAGACTTTATTCTATTATACAAAATACAGATTTTATTCTATTCTACAATCTAAATTCAGATTTTCTTGAACGACTAGCGTATCAGAATTTAGCACGGTAAGTGCTTAATTTTTGAAATTTCAAACATTTTGTTATATTACAAACGTTATCTGTTACTATATTGATTATCTTATTACTATTTTGCCATTCTTGAAAAAATTCCAACATTATATTTGCCAAATTTTGAGACACTTGAAAGAAAAAAACAACAAAGTAAAAATAGAAGGGAACTTCTTCTATGATCCATAAAGAGAGATACAAGCCTGGCCTATGATGTTTGAGTCTAGTAGTTTAGTCTCAATTTCATGGTATCATTTCAATGTATCATTTTGAGTGTATAGTAGTTTATCATTCTGACTTTCCTTTTCTTTTATTATTTATTTTCTTTCATTTTATTACTTTATTTTCCTTTTTATTTTTCTAGTAAACATTTATTAAAAAAATCATTTTTATTTTTAATAATGATAATAATATAATAAAAAATAAAAGAATAATAATAATATGAATTGTAATATAAAATTGAGATTATTTAAATAAAATAGGAAGTTTTTTTCATTTAAATATTAATTTAATTATCTAGATAAAATATAAAGTTAATGAAATTCAAAACATGTTTGAATAATTGGTATTAAAATTTCTAAAATTAATAATAAATTTAGAATGAAAATTATAAAAGCTATTATTCAATTTATTATAAGATTTCTTAATAAAATTGAAATTAGATGACCCCAAATTAAATTTGTTGAATAAATGAATTGATAAAGTACAAGGTTGAATAATTAATCTAATTAATTCATCATTACTATAAAATATATTAATAATTTTGGAAAATTTAGGAAGGAATTGTTTAAAAAGAGAAATGTTTAAAATCAGTTAATAAATCTGTTTTAAAAAAATATAAGGAAGCACGTGCTACGAAATATATAATGGCTATCGCATGTCATGAATCATAACACAAATAGAGTAGAAAATGGATGCAAAAAAGAGACTATCGATTACTATTGACACCATTGATAAAATTATCAATAATTTTTAATATTAAATTTAATTTTTAATGTTATATTTAATTATCGATATATTATTGATATTTTTCTATTTTATTCTTATTTTTCTATTCTTGTTCTTATATTTGATATATATGGAGACGTTGCAAAAAGTTAATGCCGCGCCCCTTTGCGGCCGATGTGGTGTATCAAAAAGTGTATGCAAATTCAAAGTGTCCAGTATGCTTATTTCAAATTCGAATCTCGCATGTTTCGGCAATCGCAGATATGTGCATCGTTTAATAGATTTTCGAAGTACGCGTGAAATTTTTCCTAAATTTTTATATACGCGTGAAATTTTTCCTAGATTTTTAGAATACGATTCTGTGCGTTTATTACAATTGTTCCTATTGCTTTCGAATATTTTATTCTGAAACAAATTACACGTGTTTGTGAAAAAGAATACCCTAACCTTATCTTTTCTCTATGTTGGCAATAGAAGCTCGGAGCAGAATTTATTAATGTATTTGCATTTATTATTAATCATTAACCTTTTATAAACATATTGAACATATGAAACATTAACCTTTTATAAACATATTGAACATATGAAACATTAACTTTTTATAAACATATTGAACATATGAAACATTAACCTTTTATAAACATATTGAACATATGAAACATGTATCAGGAATTCAAGAACTACTGAAAAGTTTCTGGACAGCAAAGAAAGTGAGTGATATTCGTTTCCCTCGTTTGTATCAAAATTTTATTTTGTATTATTTAATTTTATCTTGTATTTGCTACTGCCACACTATTTTTTTTAACATTGTGAATAATTTTTCTTTTTATATTTGTCTGTATTTTATATTTTATCATATTTTGTTAAACTGTTTTTTAATATTGGAATATTATATTGTAATCTTATATTATTTCTGTTAAGTTAACGTGAAATTTTTATAACAAATTTATTAGGATATATTTTTTTAAATATTTCATACAGTAAAGCATTTAAGATAAGATATTTAAAAAAGATTTTGTACTTTTGTATTATTATTTTATGACAATAATAAAAGTCAACAGTTTACAAAATAATTAGTAAAAATTAGTACTAAATATACTAAATATAACAGAACAGAAAAGTACTAAATGTACTAAATATAATAGAATAATAAGGTAAAATAATAGATTTGTAGTTGAATCTTTAAATTGAAAACAAAAGATTTACAGTTAAAATTTTACAGTAACAATAATGAATTAATTAGATTAATTATTCGAGGCAAACTAATAAAAAATCTAACAATTTTGATATCAAAGTTGTTAAAATACAAATGTAGCATTATTTGAATGATATGATGTTATACACATAAAATATTTTAGTTAACTAAGTGATTTTTATTTAATAATTGTTACTTTTATTAACATTATTATATTTAACATAAACATGTTTTTTAAAGTTTACAAGAATATAACTGTCGAAAACTATTTTGGACTTAATTATAATAAAGTAATATGATAGATTTTTAAAACTTGGATAGATGTTGCTAAGCTATTAATGCTTATAATTAATTATGATTATAATTATAATTTGTATTATTATTGTAAGGAATAATCAAATGTTAATACTGTAGTCAACTATAAAATGCTAATTTTGCCAATTTGCATTTTGCAATTGACTGCAATATTTATTCTTTACAAGAAAATGTAGATTTCATTTAAGTAGCTTATTGTAATTATTATTTTACTTCATTTCTTTATAATAAAATTACATTATATTCTTAATCTTTTATAAAGTATTACACAATAGTCTAATTTTCACAATAGAGAAAAGGGACTTAATTTACTTGTCATCCAAAAGATTTATATAACATTATGTTACATTACAATAATGTTTATTTCTGAGAGATTTTGCTTTTTGATTTAAAATTTTATAAAGATTATAT